ATCACCAGTGCCCCCTTTTTTTCCTACTCCCTTCCCCAGTGGAAAATCAGAACTACGTATTACCCGTCAGAACCCGTCCAAAAAGGTGAATCGGCCGCTTTGCTCTCATTTATCACTTTCTGACCCAAGTTTGCCAGGTTTTTGGCTCGCTTTAAGCCTTATAAACTTTATACAACAGCTACCTTACGGTCTATCACAGACAGACAGACAGACAGACAGACAGACAGACAGACAGATAGATAGATAGATATATAGATAGATAGATAAGCAGACAGACAGACAGAGACCGCGCGCATCGTCAGACTGTGGGTGTTCTAGACCCAGTAGAGGTATCTGCCAACCTCAACAAATAATATGTTGAGTGTGTATACTTTTTTAAAAGGGGATCATTATCGATTTAAAAATGTGATATTTCATCTCAACAGACTTTTAACGTCAATCGTCACCTATGAGAATCTCGTACATATTCAAATGATGTCTGCCAGTGCGGCCAACAACAATAGGTGCAGTAATATATGCACAATATCAGTGTTAACACAATAGAGACTGTGACATTTCAGTATAACATTTCAGTGGGAATTAACATTTCAAGGGCTATAATTTATTTCATTGTGCTATGAATTTTATATTTCTATGTTGTAGCTTCCTGCGGCGTCCGTGGCTTAGGCGTTGCGAGTCCGATTCGTAATTCCAGCGTACCGCGATCGAAACTCACTACTGGCTGCGTGGATTTTTATCATGGTATATGGCGTCGCAGGTCGACCCAGCCTGAAATGGATACCAGGTTGTATACCCTGGGGAAGTTACGATGACCGGCATAATGCCAACCACATTACCCACCTAGTGCCGTGCCAATTGGTATGTACAAAATATTGGTGCTCTTCCCATATGCCCGATTCACCCAGGGCGTGAAAAGGGAACTTTACCTTACCTACTTTACTGTAGCTTCCCGGAGTAGTTGCTGCCTGTCGCAGTACCAGGCGCGTCCACTGGGTGGACTGTGAAGCGTCCTCTAGATATAGAGGTTAGCCGTGACTATAGTGAATAAGTGTCTGTGGACCCAACCAGGTGATGGTCGAGAGGAAAAGATATAAAACCGATAAAACCGAACGAAAAGTATATAAGCAAGCTTCACAATATAACAAATACAAACAAAACGTGAACGTTGCGGCTATTGAGCCTATATCAGCACATACAAATGAAACAATACTACACAGAAACACAAAATCACTTAGCTGGTATCTCGAGGTCGGTCTCATTGAGAGAAGGCGATCAAGCTAGATCTATAAAATACCTCATTCTCAGTGCTCTCAGGAGGGCAGAGCGAAAATATGATTCAAGAGAAGATAGTGAGTCGGCAACACGAAAAAGAGTACAAGAACTTCAGTTCAAAAGAGGTGTCGCTAAACATGAACACTATACAGGTAGCCAAAAAAGAATAGTAAACCAACACAGAACTGGTGTTATCAGTCATCACATGCTGGGAGATATACTGAAGATGGGATCTGAGCGCTTATGGACTTGCCGATGTGCAGTAAGGATAATCTGTTGATTTAACTAACTACCTCCAAACTCCGTGACATGGCCAACGGAGGGTAAGAGGCGCCATTGTAACCTCTCCCCCCCTGCTGTGGTGCAAGGTACATCTATTTAGAAAAACGGCTACTGGAGTTTATAAACAAAACGTCGGAAGGACGTCAAGGTGAAGCGGCCGTATTTTCCATAGTAAATAAATCATGCCTTGAAACCAGTCGTATTCAGACAACGAAGTTAATGTAGGTTCTAATGGAAGCCCCTCGTCCGATAGGGAGCAGCATGTTCTACAGGTGGTACCCGACCATTATCCAGCTACTGTAGAGACAGTAAATGTCAGTAACATCCTAAACATTGGTACACGGAATGTCAGAACACTTGTTACAAACTGAATCAACATCATGGTACACGTGTAGTAACCCATAAGGGCACCGTTGGGCTACTCTTTTTGATTGCCAACTGCCAAGGGATTTTTTTTACGAGCCCAACAATGCACACGGGCGTCCAAACTCACTACCCGGAGACTAAGAGGGATTACTTGAGTCTAAGTCCACGTGAAAAAAAAAAACAACAACAAAATCGCTGTTCTAGGCATCTTCTTTCTGGACCCACATTGTGAAAAAACGGTTTATATCAAACCACTTGATATAAACCTAGTACAGGTGTATGCACCAAATGCACAAAGCTCAGAAGATGACATTGATGAATTTTATAATGATTGAGGCTTCCAGGTAGGAACCTTTTTTACGGAAGTCCCTGAGGATTGTCGCCGGAGCTACCAGTCATACAAATCATTAAAGAACAACAAATGAGATGGTTTGGCCACCTGACGAGAATGCCCTGGTACACATAATGAACACAGAGTTAGGGGAAGACCACACAAGAGATGGAGCGCCATGATCAAGAGCAACCCAACAGAAATGAACACTTGTTCAATGTACTGGAAAAAGCGCACAAACAATCCTTACACCCCCCCCCCCCCCAACCAATACCTTGCTGAGGTAAATGGTGGAAGAGAAGAAGAAAAGGAAGATTGAGTTTGTTTAAAATGAACACAAACAAAAAAAAACAAATACAAAAATGTCATGTATCATTTTTATTGACTGAAGTCAGAAATGAGGTGAATTTGTATGTACAGTATATACAACACATGCAGTGTCTGATGGGAAGCATGTGAGTTTCTGAAAGGATAACTTACAGTAAGAAAAGGAACCAGAACAATCGCTGTCTTACACTGACTGAGATCACGGATGGCACAAGTTTCATAAAATTTATCATTCAGAATGTTTAATTAAGAACCAACATCACAGCGTTCGGGACGCTCCCATAAGCAATGCGTCCCTATCTTCAGCAGTAAGCACACAGCTCCAATTCCAATGGTGCCAATAACAGTCTGATTGTAAATCTGTCTCACCTTTCCCTTTGAGTGCTGATCATTAACCAGATCCCCTGTTCACCATTCTTCTCAGGCCATGATGATCCATCTGTGCTTCCATACTGTTTACCCGTCCCCAAGGGCCCTTAAAAAATATAGCTAGTCAGGCATAAATTCCCCACCAAGTTGTGCGGAACCAGCCAGTCTATCTGCCTGATAATTTCCTAATACCCCAACATACAATGGGGAAAATATTCAAAGGACGCTACTATCTGGGGCCTCTTAAGCGATGCGTGCCACTCTTCATTCAGACTTACTTTCAAACAACAAATAAAAAAATAGACTGTATAATACAATCAATGAAATAACAACAGACAACAAATAAAATGAAACATTTTAAAAAAAATGTGTTACATACATACAAATAGCTGATTGTATCTGTAACATTTTATACACTGCCAATGTAAAGCTATATACATTCTGTCACAGAGCACATTTGACAAATTGTGTCAACAAGCACACATCAGAAACATGTCACTGAGCACACATGGAATATTTCATTACAAAGAGCCCTTAATATTCTACCAGTCAACTTCTCACACACACCGAACATTCTAACAGTCATAATCTCACACAGAAAACATTTCACCAGTCAACTGTTCACACTCACATGACATTCCACCAGTCAATTCCTCACAAGCAGGCAACATTCTAGCAGTCAACTTCTCACATACAGGGAACATTCTACAAGTCAACTTCTCACACAAAGAACATTCTATTAATCAACTTCTTACATACATTAAACATTCAACCAGTCAAATTCTCACAAATACATAGAACATCCCATCAATCCAACTTCTCACACATACATAGAACATCCCACCAGTCAACTTCACACACATGGAACATTCTACCAGTCAACTTCTCACACACCAGGAACATTCTACCAGTCAACTTTTCCCACAGGAAACATACCACCCGTCAACTTCTCATACATCCAGCAATTCATTCTTCTGACACCAATAGTGTCACAATTAAAACCTGCAATCATCATCTGTTCAAACATTCTGCCATATTAAACACATCATCAGAACAAGTCAAAGATGTGTTGTGAAACACATCTCCTTCAGCCTCTTTTCCCGTGGACTCGTTTTCTCCCTCTCATGATAGGAACCAAAGGGCAATCAGTTCTCTCCGTATGAGTTTATTTCTTTCAAGACATCTTCTTCTTTAGTCACTGCAAACTGGTCCATGATTACAAGTCTACCAGAATCACAAGTATCAACAGAAGATTGCGGAGAATATTTCATGCAAATTCTGTCAGCCCTAGACTTTCAGGACCGTTATCTGCTTCGGTACAGATCTTCGCCCATTTCTCCCATTCAAACCCTGACAATAAAACCACATTTATAACCAACGTGAGACTAATCCAGTTCTTTATAGCGAGCAAACAACGTCTTCTTAAGGGCCACTCTGTAATCATCGCCAACATCAACCACGGAGTTAGCGCCACTCAAACCCAGACCTGCCATCTGATTTCTTCTCTTGGCCTGCAAAGTTAGGTCAAACAGCACATCAGTACACAATCATTGAACTCTCATTTGACATCTACACTGTTGTATGGATGGGTAAGAAACACACAGAATGACCAGAACAAGTAATTTCTTCTTCTGCATTCACCACCAGACAAGATACCATAAAATATGCCAGGCAATGAATTGTGCAATGATGTTCATGGACTGAGTTGTTTTCACCCAGCTTTTACTAAAAAAACTTGAAACAAGTGCTTGTTTTCATCAAAACTGATCTTTCCCTGTCAGTTCTGGGTAGACCCCCCCCCCCCCCCCCCCCCCAGTAAAAGATGACTAAGTAGGGGTTTTGCCTTCAAAATTACAGTGAATTTGCTTGAGAGGTGAGGAACCAACAGTCTGCATTCAAAATTAGCCAGATCTGTAAAACAGATGAGCATGCAAAACTTCTGAACAAGAATGAAGTCTCAGTCAATGAACAACCAAAACTTTCTGCTGGAGTTTACTAAGGCTAAGAAGAAGACGAAGAACAAATCGATAGAATGTTAAGTGAGAGAACTCACCTCAATGGGATCCACCCGACCCTGGTTGGATTTGCCAAGTCCCTGTCCTTGGGACCAGCCCATCTTCTGTAAGAGTTTACTGCCGACATTTTCTCCACCGATTCCAAACTTTGTTGGTTCTTCGTATCTAGAAACAGATGGAAAACAACTGCAGATATGAAATCCTTCAGTCCTTGGCTGATGTTCCATGAAAGTTTATCTCTCTCTCTCTCTCTCTCACACACACACATAAAATACAAATCTTTTCGATTTCCAATTGCGAAAGGATTTTTTATGTGAGCGAACTTTGCAAATGGGTGTCTGATCTTACTACCCAGAGACTAGTGGGATTTATTAGAAATCCCAGCCCTTACTGGGGTTTGAACCCAGAACCTCTAGCACTCAAGGCGAACACCATGCCTTGAGACCACGCAGCCCCTTGTAAGAAACTAAATTCTGTCAAATTCAGCTACTTTAAATCTTTGCCATTTAATAAACGAATTTGTTCAAACTGCACACAAGAAAACAGCAGGGTTCAACCAATCAAGTGACTGTTCTTTTGCATCTTTGTCATCAATAGTTTTTTTTTTAGTTGTACAGAATGTGCCGTCAACTAAGAAAATCACATCATTGAATAACAACTATGCATCTCTTTATTTTTAACGGGATAATAATCAAATAACTACAGTGATGTTCCCCCATTTACCCCAGATGTTAACTCTGGTACCCCTTACCTAGAGGCTGGGTGAACTGCGAGAACTGCTCGGTCTCGAACACCGGCTGTGGGCTGCAGCAAGTCGCAGCTGGTTCTGAAAGTGAGTCTCCTGCCAACTGCGCTAACGCAGCCCCCAACTATCTATTTTTAGTGTATTATGTGCACCACAGGAAAACCGACCATTGAGACATCTTTCTTAAAATGTTTGTTTATGTTCAAGACACAGCATTATGGTCTGAGGCGTTGATAATTTTTGTTGTGTTTGTTATTAGACCCTATACTTAACTAATACAAATTTATGTAATCTATGGTGCCAATTCAACAGTTTGAGATTAATTGTCCATATTCCATAGTTGTGGGTTCAAGATAGCTGCCTGAGTGGTCATGTGTCATAGTGCATTTGTTTCTGCAGTGAGCCGCTGTCATAATTTGGAGGTGGCAGTTTCAATCCCCTCCATGGTAACTGAAGCTTTCGATATTTATGATTTCCAGTGTGTCTCCTTCGATTGTTCTGCTTATTTCTATGAGTGTTGATCAATACATATCTATTTGTTTATATATATATATATATATATATATAAAATATCCAGAAACCACGAGTGGTTAACTCTTTGGCTCGGTACTATGGATATAGCAACTCTTCAGCCTTGATTCCTTGAAAGATACCGTAAATCTGGGAGAAATGTGGCTTTTCTGCCTACGCCTGGGTGTGAACCTAGACCACAAGGAATTTGTCACCTCGTCGCTGAGCAGTCAAGTTTAACCAGCTGAGCTAGCCAGCCGGGCTTGTTTATTATATAAAATAGAAAGGTAGGCAAAGGGATGTTTATCACATTGTCCAGGTTGCGCCGAATGATAAAAAAAAATATGTGTCTTGCATTTAAAGCCTCATGCTTCTATAAAAAACAAGATGAGCCTCCATGGTGTAGCCGCTAGACACTGGCCTGCGGACCTGAAGGTTGTGGGTTCAGGTCTAGACATTTTTTTTTGGTAATGATCTTTTCTCCTAGGTTGACCCAGCCTTAAATGGGAACCAGGTAAAGTCCTGGCAAGTAAAGTTGGCAGGTGTGGTGCTGACCAGTCTATAAAATACAGGTCTGCCCTATATGACCGAAGGCGGGGGGAAAGGGTCCTATATTTTAACTCAGTCATGGGTCTACTAGTTACACGCAATCCCAGACTAAACATAAAGATGTAAAAACATACACAGCACATTGGTTCTGTATAAGTGACAAAAATACAATCACAGATTGTGTGCTGTTTGGGACAGAAAGACCCCAAAGAATCTGACTATTGTGATTGAGGTCTCGGGACACTTGATCAGAATCTTCTAAGGTCTTCATTACTTGAAGTCAAAAGCTCTGGCAAAAATCTAAGGGAAGAATGAAATCAGGAAAATCTATAACGGACATCGGTATACACAGGTGACAAAAACTTACGCTACTGATGCCGAAGGTTCAAAATCACTGACAGTTTTCTTCAAGGGTTCTGGGGGTTCAGGAACCCCGTACTTCTGTCTCCGTTCCTTGGCTCGATCACGGTACTAGAGGACACAAATCAAATTAATTTTTAAAAAAAACCAATTAGGTAGGAAGTTAAGGATGTAAAGCGCATCATAATGAACAGAAAGGTTGAAGGCCTGTTTACAATTTCACAGGGCAACCCCAGCAATTGTCACATATGTAGGTCGTACTTTCTTTGCATATTTGTGTGCCGTCAACAGGCTAATCTTGATCACAATCAACATCTTAGCACCTCCATGTGTGCTCAGTCCTCTGATGCAGCAGCTACTCTAATCTACCTCTAATGATTGTTGTTCCCGTGAGGAGCTTGTTATAATATCCTTTGTCTTGATCTCGAAGATGGGCTTCACCAAGCTTAACTCCTCTGTCGCGCAGTCATGTTAGTGTCAGAGATTCGCCATTATCCCCCAACCTAGTCCGTACAGTGTTGATGATATCTGCTCTGTCTATGTTTCTTCTCATTTGATTTAATGCATTACTAGCCAACTGGTCAGCTCTTTCATTACCATTTACTCCTGCGTGACATTTACCTGTAGCCATTTTCTGAAGCTACAGATGCTTATCTGTGCCTGCACAGTGGGTGAGATTTTTGATCTCAAAAGCTAGTTTGAGACCTTGGCCAAGTCATACAGACAGAATCAGGTGTCCAGCTGGACAAGACCCAGGGGTATCTCTTTGTAACATGACCTATCATAGGGATAGAACCAGGTGCAGAGCTGGACAAGAACCAGGGGTATTTCCTCGTGGCATCACCCATCATCAGACTAGATCTTCAGTTTGTACAAAGTTCCCCGGATAGTCAAACCACCTTTTAGATGTCAGAATCCAGTACCAGCTTGATACAAGCAGCTGATTTCTCCGTTTGGTCCGCTTCTGGACTGGTCTTGTTCAAGAACTTTTGCGTGCACACCCATTTTACAGATCTGTCTTCAACTTTTACAACAGCTTGTGATAGGAAACTGTAAATCTATTCTTTTCCCCCCCAATAACAGGACTGTGGAACCAACACAGAAAACTTCTGAGTGTAAAAGGGGAAGGTTAACATAAATATATATTTTTGAGGCAGGCTTTTACAAATGTGGAAATGTAACCTGGGTAACAGTCTCTTAAGCCTGCTCCAATACCGAAGAATTTTGAACATTTGCAAAAGGTCCTTGAAATTGTTACCCCCATGTGGGAAAAAAAAATGACATCCAATCTCCTACTGCAGGCTTCAGGAGTACACCAGCTTTCCCACTCTCCAACAATTGAAACAGCACTCACTGCGACTCGAACCAAATCTGCATCAAATAGAGGCCCATGATATCCTTCTCCCAACCCTCCCTCTCTTAGTGTTCACCGGCTGTATAAACTCCGGCAGAAAGTTTGGGTTATTCATTCACTTTAAGATGTTATTCTTGTTCCAGAATTGAGTTTTGTATGTACATCCATTACACAGATCTGGCTTATCTGCATGCAGACTGCTGGTTCCTCGCCTCTCAGGCAGATGCACTCCGACTTCAAAGGAAACACCCCTAATTTACTTTTACAACACGCTTGATAAGGGAACAGTGGGTTCATTCTATCCCTTCCCTTCCACTGACAATGGGTGGGGGAAGAGATATGTTTATTGGGCTCTTATTCTCTTGGATGAAAGAGAACTCCAGTCAATTCAATAAATTAGTGTCACACACTCACCTCAATCTTTTCAGCACTCGATGTTCCTTTGGACTTCATTAGAGCTTCCAGATTTTGCTAAACAGAAAAAAAAAATTTTTTAAGTTTTAAAAGGTCAAATAATAACTGTCGAATGTAAATAAATAAAATGCAACAAATGCTTCTGGCAGCCTAGGTCGGGTTAGTCCTGACTTCCACGGTACAGGGTACTGTGGCGGGTACGGCATTTTCGCATTTTAGTTGTAATATAAAACTGAGCTGCATGGTATACAGTACTGTAGTGGGTCCTGACTTTCACGGTACAGGGTACTGTGGCGGGTACGGCATTTTCGCATTTTAGTTGTAATATAAAACTGAGCTGCATGGTATACAGTACTGTAGTGGGTCCTGACTTCCACGGTACAGGGTACTGTGGCGGGTACGGCATTTTCGCATTTTAGTTGTAATATAAAACTGAGCTGCATGGTATACAGTACTGTAGTGGGTCCTGACTTCCACGGTACAGGGTACTGTGGCGGGTACGGCATTTTCGCATTTTAGTTGTAATATAAAAACTGAGCTGCATGGTATACAGTACTGTAGTGGGTCCTGACTTCCACGGTACAGGGTACTGTGGCGGGTACGGCATTTTCGCATTTTAGTTGTAATATAAAACTGAGCTGCATGGTATACAGTACTGTAGTGGGTCCTGACTTCCACGGTACAGGGTACTGTGGCGGGTACGGCATTTTCGCATTTTAGTTGTAATATAAAACTGAGCTGCATGGTATACAGTACTGTAGTGGGTCCTGACTTCCACGGTACAAGGTACTGTGGCAGGTACGGCATTTTCGCATTTTAGTTGTAATATAAAACTGAGCTGCATGGTATACAGTACTGTAGTGGGTCCTGACTTCCACGGTACAGGGTACTGTGGCGGGTACGGCATTTTCGCATTTTAGTTGTAATATAAAACTGAGCTGCATGGTATACAGTACTGTAGTGGGTCCTGACTTCCACGGTACAAGGTACTGTGGCAGGTACGGCATTTTCGCATTTTAGTTGTAATATAAAACTGAGCTGCATGGTATACAGTACTGTAGTGGGTCCTGACTTCCACGGTACAGGGTACTGTGGCGGGTACGGCATTTTTGCATTTTAGTTGTAATATAAACTGAACTGCAGTATACTGCAGTGGGTCCTGACTTCCACGGTACTAGTGTAATATAAAACTGAGCTGCATGGTATACAGTACTGTAGTGGGTATGGCAGGTTGTTGTTGAGAGTTGTAAAGTAAAACTTCTGCTTCTTTCGTTCAATTGAATTATATATTATCTATATCCGCAATGTTGTTCCCGGTATGAACTTCACTGACTTTTGTAATTTACTCAGCGACCCATAAAGTTTTGGTGGAAAATTCTGGTTTTTGGTCCACTCCTGGACTCAGGTCTTATCCTGAGTTTTGCAGGCACACCAGTTTTACATATCTGGCTTATTTGTATGCAGACTATTGGTTCCTCACCTCTCAAACAGATTCCCTCCCTCTTTGAAGGAAACATCCCCACATTTTAGTCGCCTCCCACGACATGCTTATTAGGGGTCAGTCTATTTATTCTTTGTTCCCCAAAATATGGTTCTGAAACACATACAGAGATACTACATCCAAAAATATAATCTGCCAAATTTATGACATGTTTCTATTTATGTCAGCATTTCTTTTTCTTCTTCTGAGTGATGTAAATGTGGTGCGCCTGTTTTTACAGCAGGGCTGCGATATTTGCATATTTAAGCCAACTTCATAGAGCATTTTCAAATTCCTGGATAGTTTCAAGGCCTAGCCTTATTTGTGTGGGGTTCTCTCTGATCCTATTTATACAGGAGTTGCCCCTGGAGAGCCTGTCCATGGCATCCACAAGTAGACTGGTCAGCCCTCAAGGGAAGGCAATGGCAGACCGTCAGTGTCCCAGCCATCCTAGGAGGCTCCTAAATTCAGAGCCAACACAAGATGCTCTGGTCCTGGACTCAAAGAGGTGTAAGCATGTGAAGATAATGAGTGATGTTCGGCCCCACCAGGACAGCACAATGAGCGACAAACGCCCGGTAACACAAACTGCCACCATTAGGATGAAGATCACCCTGATTCAAGTCCCAGAAAGCCTGTTTAATGGTTAGGTTATACAGACCCTCCACTACAGCTGGGGTGGGGCTTTATAATAACAAAAACCTGCGTCCCACATTAGGGCAAGATTACTAATTATTCACAGACAATAAACAGACCAACCTTATGTAAATCGGACACCTGGATGTGTTTGTTGAGGATGTCTTTTGACTGAAACTGTCTCTTGCACAACAAGCAGGCTAACTTAGTCCAGTCCACTAACTTGGATTCATCCAAGGAAGGTGACGGTGTATCATCTTCCTCCCCACTGTCGCTGTCGCCTCCATAAGATGCCACAAGACCTGGTTTGTTAGCCCCTGAAGATCTGTCAGGTTTCTGCCAAGACAAGAGTTTTTGAAGTGGTTATTTAATGACAGGCATATGAAGACGTTTGTATCTCTCAGCATATATCGCCTGCTGGCAATACAAGTTACACATTTTTCTAATTACAGACATTCTAATTACTGATAATATACTTCTAATTCTAATTCCTCTTTTATGGAAAATTTAATGGTTCTAATTCATATTTTTTTGAAAATCTAACGGTTCTTCTTCTTACAGTCCATGCTGTGGAGTTGTTATAATAATGTATGACCATAATCTTCGGTCTCATGCACTTTCAAACAGTTCAAACAGAGGGACCAAAGCAGGGTCAGTGTACTCACCAGGTCAGAACAATTAGCAAATACTTTAATGGCACCTTACTGTGGCACAAGCGGTGGAATATCACCAAGTCAGACGTCCTTGTTGCCGAGCCTCTCAAAACACTGCAGCTACATAAATCAGTTTAGTTGTAACAGCATAGGTATTCTTGGTGTTCGTCGGCTGCAAACTTCGGGCAAAAAGTTCTGGTTGTTCGTCCACCTCTGGATTTTAGTCTTGTTCATAGAAAGAAATGGAGTTTTGCGTTAACAATTTTACAGATCTGGTTTATCTGTATGCAGACTGTTGGTTTTGAGCCTCTCAGGCAGATGAATTCCAACTTAGAAGGAAATACTCCTAGTTAGCCAACTCCTATTCATGCTTGTTTGGAGAGGGGGGGAGGGAGGAAGGGGTGTATTTTTTTTCCTCCCACAAAGGAGCTTGGGAATGCAGAGAGAAAGATTTCAGAAACACCACTGGTGGGTATTTATAACAGAGGGAAAAAAAAGGGGAAAAGGTTGGGGAAAGGGGGTTAACCACAGAAGGACAGCACTGTCAGACGCACCATTTTTTCCCTCCAGTTACATACACAAGAGAGCAGAAAATGAACAACTTACCGGGGGTGGAGGCATCAAGCTGACATCTTCTTTCTGGAGAAAAAAAAAAAAAGAAACAAAACTCAAAAATGTAGCCCACAGGAGACAGATCACAACTGACGAGATTTTATATTTTGAGATTTTCAAAATGTGATTTAACTAATATCAAATATTTTTTTTCTCTTTCCATATGATATAAGGTAAAGTCTGGAGATGTAAACCAGCGTCATTGCACACGGTAATAAACCTTAAGTACTCTGCCACCACTATGGACAACTGATAAAAAAAACTCCACCTGTGTTGCCATCCGCAGGCAACTCCATAGCTACAGCGATATTTCTTCATTTACTCCGATTGTTAACTCTGGTACCCATTTCCTAGAGGCTGGGTTAACCCCAGGTTAACCGTCCGGTTTTGAATCCTGGACATAGGCTGCAGCGAGTCGCAGCTGGATCTAAAAGTCTCCCATTGACTGGGTAAAGCGGCCCCTTTTCATATGATCAACTTATCACGAGTTTCCTGGCCATATCAAAGATAGCATGACATTCTGGTTCTCTGTTTCATCTTCATGTTCATCGGCTGTGAATTCTGTTGGAAAGTCCTAGTTGTCTGACTATTTGCCAGTACATGAGTTTTGCATGTGCATCTATTTTACTTTCTTATTTGTGTGCAGTTCTTGTTCCCTGCCTCTCTGGCAGTTGTACTCCGACTTCAAAGTGAGACATTGTTTCTATCTCTAGGATGACTGTGGTCAATCTTTCGTGGGACATGATGTTGCCTCATATGTGTCAGGTTTTTGTCAGATGCTGTCCCCGGAGAATCCCTTTAGGGCAACCGCATGAAGACTGGTCAGCCCTCAAGGAAAAGCAGGTCCAGATCATGGGCATTCCCCACCACCCAAGGAGGCTTCCATAAATGCAGAGCCGACACGTTGCTCTGGTTGTAGGTTCACCCAGGGAATTGTCACATTCTGCACATGACTGCATAACCTCACAACTGTATGTTGAGCTTTCCAACCGTCATGGGCTGCACCCTCCGAAGATCAGCAGGGAGCAGTCCGCTGGTCCAGGACTTCGATGACCACCTAAATTGGTAAGCTCTCTGCTATCACACAAGTATGTTATAGACCAACCCTTCTACTTGAATTATTAGTTTAACTTCTTGTATCAGTCTCTCTGTTAACTCCTCCAAGTCTGGTTATTTATTCTCTAAAGCTCCTTCAGGCCTGGTTATTTATCCCCTAAAGCTAATACCTTGGAAGTAGAAATGGGATAAAGCAACAGCTGCTTGGGACTGACAAGAGTTAAAAGCATATGTATAAAAAGATAAATAAAGGGAGTAAACAATAAACACAGAGGGAAGCATTAAATGGAATACACTACCAGAGTCATCCAAAAATGTTTGTATCAGGTGACTCATCCCATGACCTCAATCACTGAGGCTTACTGGACAATTTGAAAATAGCTTGGCTTTAAAAGGCTATTTGGCTCAAAGGACCCCTCCCCCTCCTACTTTATATAATGTATTCATAAACTGAGCAGGCGCAAAAACAGCCAACAGCATTAACTATGTGTCTTGTAACAGTTCACTATAGAAAAGTCAAAAAAGTGACATTTATGGGGAATTGGGCCCAACCCAAAATATCAGCTTTGCAGCCTCTCTGTGCAATAGGGTTAAAAAGGAAAGAAAGAAGCTGTGTGCGCACATATACTTACAACTTTCTGCAGTATAGCAAATCCTGCGTCTGCTGCTGCAGATTCCTGCCTGGGTGCACTCGCCTGGGCCACACTTTTCTTCACCTCTCTCTGAGCTTCCTTTTGGGCGTTTAAACTTTTGGCCCATTTCTCCATATCCTGCAACGCAAACATAACAAAAAATCACAAGCTGAAAACAAATACAAGCCACTTTATATATAGCTATAACCAGAGCTCACCTCGGCAGTGGAGGACACACATCGAAATGTTTTTTTTTAAATGAGTAAGAATTAACATCACAGCCCTCAGGGCATTCCCATGCATACTCCGTCCTCACCCTCAGCAGCCAGCACAGAGTTCCAATGCTGATGGCACCGGTCACAATCTGGTTAAATGTCCGTTTTCCCTTTCCTCTGAGTGTAGTGAGCCGGCCAGACCCTCTAGTTACATCTAGGTGCCTTATTCTCTCTAGGCCATAATATGTTCTTGCTCTGCTGATTCCGTTGCTTGCACCCAAAGGGCAGATGTAAAGCATTTCATATAAACGAAAACAATTTTCATATAAAAATATTTAATTCCCTATGTATGCAAACTTATCATGTATGCAAACTTATCGCATATGCAAACTTATCATGTATGCAAACTTATCATGTATGAAAAATTAAGACACCTACTGCAATTACCACCCTAATAAAACAGACAAAGGAGGCTTGGCTAGACAGAAGATGGGTGAGGGCCAATGCCATATCATTGAATCACAGGCAGCAGAGAAAAACTCTAAAGATCGAGACTAACATCTCACCTTGGCAATTCTTTTGGCTGTCCTCCCTTTCTCTTTTTCTTTCTTCTCTTCTTTACTTTCTTTTTTACTCTGGGGCTCATCTTTATCATCTTTACTTGCTTGCACATTGTCTGGGGCAGGGAGGTAAGTTGACTTCTCTGCGTCCCAGTACATGTACGTGCCCGATGAGGAGTTGTAATAATACTGCACACAAACAAAAAACACATTTCAGCCAGAAAAAGGCTATGAGTTACCAGTGAGTTATAGAATAGCTAGAGTAATGAGTTACAGCTAGATTGATGAGTTATAGTAAAGCTACAGTGATAAGTAACCAGTGAGTAATAGTACAGTTAGAGTGATGAGATAGTACAGCTAGAGTGATGAGTTATAGTACAGCTAGAGTGATGAGTTATAGTACATCTAGAGTGATGAGTTATAGTACAGCTAGAGTGATGAGTTATAGTACAGCTAGAGTGATGAGTTCAAGTACATCTAGAGTGATGAGTTATAGTACAGCTAGAGTGATGAGTTATGACAGTAGAGCTAGAGTGATGAGTTATGACAGTACAGCTAGAGTGATGAGTTATGATAGTACAGCTAGAGTGATAAGTTCAAGTACAGCTAGAGAGATAAGTTCAAGTACAGCTAGAGAGATGAGTTATAGTACAGCTAGAGTGATGAGTTATGATAGTACAGCTAGAGTGATGAGTTCAAGTACAGCTAGAGAGATGAGTTATAGTACAGCTAGAGTGATGAGTTCAAGTACAGCTAGAGTGATGAGTTCAAGTACAGCTAGAGTGATGAGTTCAAGTACAGCTAGAGTGATGAGTTCAAGTACAGCTAGAGAGATGAGTTATAGTACAGCTAGAGTGATGAGTTATAGTACAGCTAGAGTGATGAGTTATGACAGTAGAGCTAGAGTGATGAGTTATGACAGTACAGCTAGAGTGATGAGTTATGATAGTACAGCTAGAGTGATAAGTTTAAGCACAGCTAGAGTTATGAGTTATAGAACAGCTAGAGTGATAAGTTAAAGTACATCTAGAGTGATGAGTTATAGTACAGCTACAGTGATAAGTAACCAGTGAGTTTTAGTACAGTTAGAGTGATGAGTTATAGTACAGCTAGAGTGATGAGTTATAGTACAGCTAGAGTGATAAGTTAAAGTACATCTAGGGTGATGAGTTATAGTGCATCTAGAGTGATAAGTTATAGTACAGCTAGAGTGATGAGTTTTAGTACACCTAGAGTGTTGAGTTATAGTACAGCTAGAGTGATGAGTCTAATACAGATAGAGTGATGAGTTACCAGCAAGTTATAGCACAGCTAGGGTGATGAGTTACCAGCAAGTTATAGCACAGCTAGGGTGATGAGTTACCAGCAAGTTATAACACAGTTGGAGTGATGAGATACAGTACAACAAGAGTGATTTGCCAGTGAGTTATAATACAGTTGGGGTGATGAGTTAAACTACAGTTAGGGTGATGAGTTAAAGTACAGCTGGAGTGATGAGTTACGCTACAGTTGGGGTAATGAGTTAAAGTACAGCTAAGGCGATTGATGAGTTATACTACAACTAGAGTGATGAGTTACCAGCGACTTATTGCACAGCTGGGGCAAAGAGATAGTACAGCTAGGGGGATGAGTTATTGTACAGTTAAAGCAATAAGCTACCTGTGAGTTGGCATCGTAGTACAGCTGTGTGAGGGGGTCATAATAATAGCCTGAAGTCTCCTCATACTGGTAGCTGGAAGTATCTGGAGGGGCTGAAAGTTGAAAAGAAATTGTTTTCAGAATTACATAAACCTTAATTATGCAAAGATTACATCAACCCTCAAAATGTAACAGCATAAGTCCCAACTGTGTGACCCAGTAAAGAAATCTTAGAACGTAAGATTATTTTAATCAAAATCAGAGTCACTGTGTGGCTTCCAATGAGAGTTGAGAAAGATTTCACTGTGAATTTTGAATACATTCTACATAAACTTTTCAGGCACACAAGCCATCCACCCTTAATCTGGGTCAGGGCTATTCAACTGGCGGCCTGCGGGTCAATTCCGGCCTGTGGAGGCCTAGCAAGTGGCCAGCGGATCACCTGCTAATTGTATTGTATTAATGATCTTTCTATGCCGTGACTAGGGCCTCTTAGTTAAACACAACTGAATGGCCTAGACTATCTTTCTTTCAAATAAATGAACGGGACCTAGCTACGTTTCTCTGTAACTCTCAGTGTGACTTCTGTGATATTCTGTATCTAGCCTACACTACAGCGACAAATGCTATCTAAAGTAATAGTCTCTTGCTGACACTCTGAAGGTCATGGGCTGTGTCCTTCAGTTTATTATAAGTGCAATTTTTGTTTGGAGATCCCTGTGGATTGTTGGCACAGCTGCAGTGTTCATGCTCTGTGTGGCACACTCCTCTAGCCAGCCGTTCTACAGAGAGACATAACCTTATTGGATAAAAACCTGGTGCAATAAGGTCGATCTTCTCAACTTTAACCTTTAGTAATGGTCTCTCTCTATTGATGGGTTACCACTCCTCTTTTCTGATAAGGTAGTGGTCTTCACTATCTTATATTCCAACTGAATACAGGATTCACTGATTTTTTTTTTTTTTTCCAAGGAGTCTAAAGTCATTACCCAGGAAGTCAGAGCAATGTTAGAATAATATAAACCAATTTTTTTTTTAAAAATTATTTTATGATGATCACCAGCCCACCACATAAATGCTGAATTGAGAATCGACACGACAGCACTCGTGATACTCCCATTAGCACTCTGTCCCCATCTTCAGCAGCAAGCAAAGAATTCAAATTTCGATAGTACCAGTAACTATCTGATTGTACATCTGTCTCACCTCTCCAATTGAGTGTTGAGCATCAGCCAGATCCCTTGGTAACTCCCCACAGTGCCATCCTCCTCCGACCCCACTACAGAACTGGGAATGAGCAGCCGTTTACTAGACATAAGCTAAATTTCATGAAACCTCCCTCTGGGCTGTAAATATCACAGACCGCAATATTCCTTTGGAACCCTTATTCCAGACATGAATATTTCTGTAACGTATTTTAAATGGTGGCCCTTCAATGGTTTGAGATAAATACTGTTCTCCCCGTGTGGGTTCCTGGGTTCACTGAGGGAAAGACAAGAATAGACCCACTGCCTCCCTAAAAAGCATGTTGTATGAGTCGATTTATTGCTGGATTCCTTCGAAGTCGGAGTGCATCTGCCTGAGAGGCAAGGAATCAACAGTCTGCATACAAATAAGGCAGATTTCAAAATAGTTTTTTACGCGCACTCAGGTTCTGGGACAAGACCTTAAGTCTAGAGGTGGATGAACAACCAGAACTTTCTGCCCGAGTTTACACATTCCATACAGTGAGTTCACACTGTAGGACATTTTTTTAGGGGTGCCTAGTTGGTCATGCATCTTAATACACTTGTCCTGTAGAGAAGCTTTATAATTATTTGGAGGTGACAGTTTCAATTCCTAGAATGTTAACTACAGCTTTAGATTTCTATGTTGTTTAGTGTGTCCTTCTCTATTTCTATTTCATTCTGTAAGTGTCTGTCTGTCTGTTCACTATGTATAACGTTCTGTTTCAGACTGCAAACTGCTGATTATGATTACCCTGAAGGAGAAAGTATATGGGCAGAATGTGCTATGTGAGAGAGACTTGGATGATATATTTAAGAAAAGTCAGCGATTTCAACTTAGGCACGCCGCCTAAGTCTTTGGCAGCAACTCATCCATACATTATCTTCCCTGTGTGAGTTTCTGGGGCCCCAACATGGGGGAAACAAAAACAAACCCGCCCCATGTCTCCCCAACAAGCATGTCATAGGAGTCCACCTAATTGGGAACATCCTTTGACATCAGAGATATCTGCATGAGAGGCAAGGAACCAACAAATCTGCAAACAAAACTGAAGTTCTGGAGCATGACCAATTTGCGAACACAAGAAGAAGATGGTTATTGCCTCAATGGAAACAATATATGGGGAGAATGTGGTGCGAGAAAGTGACCAACGTTACACATTTTACAAAATGATTTCAAGTTGTCCACTCTGCCCAAGTGGTCTATAAAATATGGGTTAAGCCGTATATGCCCAGTAAGCCCAAAGGCACGCAAAATGGTCCTTTACTCTACTGCCTCTGCCTCGTCTGTGGTGCGCTATCTGGTCGACACATCATTTGTATCTAGTGATTTGCCTGTCTCTGTGTTCTCTAGAGGAGGCCAACAGATTGTCATGAATGAAAACAATCCCATTCAGGACACAAACCACTGCAGTGGTGACAATCAGGTAGTGATATACTTACGATAGACAGGGTATTCGACACCATTGACTGTCACTGTTTTATGGGAAAGCTGGCCTGATTCCCTGTTTTGGATCTGAGAGAGGAAAAAGAGCAAGAAACTTACAAGAGAATGTTAGAAGTCTGATGCCAACATGAAAAATGCAAATTTTTTAATCATGCCTTGTTTTCAACATACGTCCCGCACCTCCCCCTCTCAATTTGATTCAGTTTAAAAATACTTCGTCTTTTGAGAGCGCAAGACAAACAGAAACGAAAATGGGAAAAGAAAATTTAGAAGTCAGACTGAGAAAAGAAGGAAAAGAGATTAAAAAGATAATGAGAGAGAGAGAGGGAAGGGTGAAGTGACAGAGACAGAGGAGAAAAACAAGGTAGCAAGAGATAGTGAGAGACAGAAAGAAAAATGTTTATAAATATGACTCACCATTTGAGGGAGCAAGACAAAGAGAAAGGAAGGAAGAGGGTAAAAAGGGAAATGAGAGGACAGACAGGGCTGAACAGAGAGAGAGAGGGAGACGAAACAAACAAAGGGAGAGAGATCTTCTTATAGTCCATGCCAGGTGGCGTTGGTGGTTATGACCATCCACAACCTTCTGTCTAGTGTACTTTCAGTCAACTTCTGCCACAGATAACCATATCCATGCCATGTCTAACTGTCCAGCATCTTCTCTCTTACTCTCCCTCTGGCCTCTTTTCCCCTCCGACTTTCCTACTTTTCTACTGTCACGATGTTCTCCAGTTTTCTCCTTCTCATGACATGACCAAAGAATGTAGACTTTCTCATTGTGAGTCAGTTTTTCCAAGACATCATCATAAATCTATTTATCTGTCAGGTGTCTGTTCATCACAGGAGAGATAGTGCAGGCAAAGGGAAGTAGACAGGGGCAAGAGACAGAGAAATCTATATTTATATATATAAATAATATAAAAGACAAATCTGCTATTACAGCCTGCGTCAGCTACATAGTGCAACACTTTGAGCTGCAGATTTTATTTTTGAATGCTTTTTGACTGCGCCTAACGTGATTTGTGTTGTGAACTACATTCAGCAAGTGGTCTGTTGCCAAAGAACTGATGTTGTCTTATGTGATTAATTGCGTGTGCGACAACTGATCTGTTGTACCTGCTGCTTCCATCATTGATGCATTGCATTTCTAGTGTCAGATAGTTTGTGCTGGCACTTCTGACGGCTGCAGTGTGCATTTATTGCCATGGACTTTTTGTTTAGTTTTGTTGTTGGCACAGGACTGGAGCAACTACGGTGGTGACCTGTCTGTGATTAAATGATCTGATCAGTATGTGGTGCTCACCTGCTTCTGGTAATTTTTAGCTGCCTGTGCTTGTTGTATGGCAGCCTGGGCCACAGCTGCAGCAGCATTTGTTGGATCTGGGGAACATACGAGGAACAATCAGTCACAGTCAATACTTGAAATCACAGTGAATACTGACAGCTGTAAAACAATCAATCAGACAGTCATTGCAAGAAACTACAGAGCACTTCTTCTTCGCATCCTCTTTTACCGTTTCAGGTGTTGAGAGGGAGATATAACATTCTTTTTCTTGCTCTTCTAGCCGCCTCGACCATAGACACATCGTTGTGGTGTAGAGTCTCTCTAATTTTATTGTTCCATCTTGTTCTGCCTTGTACTCTATGTCCTACTCTTTTGGTGTATGACCTTGTATGGTGTGGCGTCAAAACACATTTAGAGGCAGCTATGTGGTCTCGAAGCATGAAGTCTGCCTCGAGTGCTGGAGGTCCCGGGCTCTGGCCCCGGTAAAGGCTTGAAATTTCCACGTCTACTTCTAGTGAATATTCCATGTTTTCTAGGTAGTGTGATCGAATGCCCGTGTGTATCGTTGCTTTAAAAATACTTTGGCAGTTGGAAATCAAAAAGAGTAGCCTAAAGGCGCTACCAGAGCAAAATTTGTAGTTATAAATCTACCCAAAATATTTAATGAATTCATGCACTACGCTGAGATTCTTCGGACTCAGGCTTGAGTTGGAAGTAGAACGGAGCACTTTGAGTTACTACCCTTGTGCCATGATGTTGATCCGTTGTTTAAACCCTAACACATTAAGAGTGGATAAACTATGTTGCTGTCTTTGTAAGTAATTTAGAACTGTTAGTGTGCCAACTTTTTCTCTAAAGACCTAATTCCTGATTTTAATCTTCTGCCATTCCTGCAGTCCTTCTCAGACATTTTATTTCCATGGCTACTAATTTGCTTTTCTGGTTTACAGAGAACACTGAACAAGATAAAACAGACCACAAACTTTTTCATAATAAAGTTTATTTAGAGTGGGTGGATCTGGGAGCCTAGACCAGTGAGTTATAGTACAGCTGGGGTGATGAGTTACCAGTGAGTTATAGTACAGCTGGAGTGATGAGATACAGTACAGCTAGAGTGACGAGTTAAAGTACAGCCAGAGTGATTTGCCAGTGAGTTATAATACAGTTGGGACTATGAGCTATAATACAGTTGGGACTATGAGCTATACTACAGCTGGGATGAGTTATACTACAGTTGGGGTGATCATCTTCTTTAACATCCACCTACACTGTTGCAAATTCCAGAACTTTAGCCAGGAAAGTGGCACAAATAAACAAGACCACAAATACAGCAGGAGTCTGTTGGCTAGCTAGCGGCAGGTAAAACGTTTTTGATTTTTTCTTTGACAAAATTGAAAGGACTGTTTTGTTTGGGTACACTGGCTATAATAAACCCTTATAGAAATTCCCAGTCGTTCCCCTATTTCTAGTTCCAGGGCCTGAATTGTACAGATCTGGCTTAGTTGTATGCAGACTGTTGGTTCTTGCCTCTCAAGCAGATGCATGCTGACTTCAAAGGGAAACATCTGTCCTATGACATGAGTATTAGGAGGCAGTGGGTCTATTCCCCCCTCCCCCCAATGGGGCCTCAAACCCAAAAAGACAACCATAACTTTATGTAAGAGTTTACACAATCAGTGACACAAAGAAGAAGAAAAGGGAGCATAGACAATTTAATTGCATATAAGAGTATAGACATGATCAGGGACTTACTTTCTGCAATGTCTTCTGCTGACACAGCAAACCCAGAGGCTGCTGCACTGTAGTATTGTGCGTAGTAGTCAAACTGTTGTTGCTGTGTGGAGTAAAGATCAACTCTAGACATTGTATTGCAGCCAATGAACAGAATCAATGCAAAGCAAGTGTGTGAATATAAATTATGACACAAAAAAATGCCCCTTTCATGACTGCAGCCTGTAGGATAGATAAACATTTCAAGGATGAGTGTGCACTTTCACACCTAAGGACACACTTAATATCCTGTGCCCATCTCTGTGCTGGTCAGTCCCTGCCCATTCACCTTGATACCATGCCTTCTCCTATTGTTAGGATGTAACTTGGCACTCCTACGAAGGAGTTTCAATTCTAACAATCCCAGCAAACTGTTCAGCATCTTCCCTTTGTCTGCCTCTCCTCCCTTCAAACTCTCCTATGTCACGATGTACTTTAGTTTTCTCCTTCTCATGACATGAGCGAATAATGCAGACTGTCTTTCTGATGTGGGCAATCAGTTCTCTCAGGACCGAGCACATGTGACTGAACAATGACTTTCAGACTGAAGCTTCCACGATCAACAAAAGATCAGTGCACTAAACAAACTGGTAAATACAGTCAATAATCCAATTTTAAAAAATCAGCAATATATTTGACACTCTAATATTTAAAAAAAAAATGCTATGTAGTAAATATAACTCTAATTTCATAATGAAACAAGATATGAAAGTTGTTAAAACAAAGACACCAGAATCTTCTTCTTTTCGTTCACCGGCTGTTAACTCTGGCAAAAAGTTCTGGTTGTTTGTCCACTTCTGGACTGCAGTCCTGTTCCAGAACCCGAGTGGTGCGTGTACATCTGTTTTACCGATCTGACTAATTTTTATGCAGACTGTTGGTTTCTTGCCTCTCATGCAGATGCACTCCGACTTTGAAGGAAGCTTCCAATTAGTCAACTCACAATGAAATGAAATGCAGTTTTCACTGAAGAAAGTTGGTAAAATGAAACACTGTTGTTAAAACAAAGACACTGGTGTATACTGCAGTTTCATTAAATAACATGGGGGGTTGTTTTTTTGTTTTTGTTTTTTTGCTTTTAAAACACTGGCACTTTACATCAAACATATTTTTTTTTTACAAGAAAGACACAGGAATGAAAAGCAATGTTTAATGAAAAAAGTGTTTAAAAAAAACAGAACCGGAATTCATAGCACAGTAGTTTTCACTGAACCCACTAAAAAGAATATAACTGCCCAACAACAAAGGGGTATAGTGATACATTACTAGACAACATTTCTTTTTCAATGATCACTGTATGCTAGGCACTCTCACACTGAACTATTCAGTCACCAGCGTGGTCAGGCGCCTAGTCCAGTGGCACAACTCAACGGTCCTGCTGGGCTTAAAACAGGCCTACCACTAATTCCACCCAGAAATCATGCTTCTTAAAACAATACATCAATCATCGTGCAACAGGTCCTCTGCTGAACTTCCCTATTATCACAGTCTGTCTGAAAGTAACTCGGTCTCTTGATGGTTCTCCTGTCTCTTGCACATTTAGACACTTATATCCTGTGCCCATCTCTGTACTGGTCCGCCCCACGCCCATTATTCCAGGTACCATGCCTTCTGCTGGTCAGTATTTCTTTTCTTCTCTGTCCATAGTATTCTAAGAATCATTTTACAGCATTTAAGTTCAAAAACCCCTATCTCAACTGGAAATTATTAACTTTATTATATCACTTTGCAGTGTAGGCAGGGAGGTTAAGGCTGCATGGCTAGTGCTGTCACCACAGACTGTGCAGGTGAGGATTTTATTCTGCCACTGACAGAAAAATTCCCCAGCCTTTTCGAGGATTCAAACCCAGGTCTCCCAGCCCAGCGTTCTAATGTACTAGATAAATTATTGGGAATGAAGAGTACAGCAACTAACCTGTGCCTGAGCCTTCTGCTGTATGTAAGCCATCCTGGAAACAAATGAACAGACATATCCATAGTTATTTCAGGTTTTCCTTTGCAAAAAGTTACTTTTCTTTAAGGATGAAGACAGAAGAAGGAGGAGGAGGAGAAGAAAAATAAGTCTTTCCTGTCATTACATGAAGCCACTTGCAATTGTATGACACATACCCAGACAAACACACAAGTAAAACTTAAAGTTAAATATCTATTTAAAGCAGCGGTTCTCAACCTGTGGGTCAGGTGTAGGGATGTCTCGAATGCAGCATGCCAGCTCTTTGCTGGCTACTGAGGAAGGGGATGGACTAGGTATAGGGAATGTCCCGAGTGCAGCATGTCAACTCTTTGCTGGCTACTAATGAAGGGGACGGTTAATCAATCATTAATCTGGTGTGCTTCTCAGACATAGCCATTTCTATGTGCGACTGTTACAGTGTGTTGATAAAGGCTTTTCTAGCTGCAATGTTCATCCACTTGTGAACTTTGGTCTTATTCCAGAAGCTGAGTGGTTGCATGCACATCTATTTTACAACCTGGCTATTCATATGCAGACTGCTGGTTCCTTGTCTCTCAGGCCAATGCAATGCGACTTCAAAGTAAACACCCCTATCTAGTCTTCTCTTACTACGTACTTGTTAAAAAAGCATAAGGTCTATTTAAACCCCCCCCCCCCCCCCCCCTCAAAGATGGGACAAAGGAACCAACAGAGGGGGAGGGGGCTCTGAAATTAACAGCTGTGCATCTGTGACACGCTGTCTATCAGAAGGCTGTCTATAAAACCCTCCGTCAGTGCAGACACATTTTTAAAATGGTTACAGGACCACAAACATCGGAGAACAATCTGCAGACCTGCCCACTCTACCAATAACCTGGCCTCAAGAGCAAAATGTGCAGAGTAAGCTATGGGGAACCATTGAGGACCTGCAACTGACATGTGAGTTCAAAGAGGCGACCCACCTGATGGTCTGACCTGAGCATACAAAACCCAAAAGAAGAAGAAAAAAAAACAGGGTTGCTTATTTACAACTCAGAGAGCAGATGACTGCCAAAAAAAACCAAAACCAAGCAAGAACAAATGTAAAGTGGCACTTACGTGGTGTTGAATGTGTTTTTGGCGTAATCCATCAGCAGCTGCTTCCCGTCAACCTCCAGGGGCGGGTTCAGCCGAAGGAGGCAGTCCAGGACCAGAGTCGAGGCCGACACAGAGTGGAACTCAACAAAACCGAACCCTCGGGAGGTTCCCCAGGTCATCGCGGATGATGGCAATATTTTTTATAGGTGCCAGTGGCATAGGGGACAGGGCCAAGGAGATAGAGGTCACCAAGGTTTCTTCGGTTGTCAGGGCATCTAGGCCACGGAATATCAGAGCTGCCAAAACAGAGCACAATGATTAGCTCTCATATTCACCTGTGTTCAGTCATAAACACATGTTAAAGTAACAAGTATACAGTGAGATGCAACTTTACCATCTGGGGAAACTTCAGCTAACAGGGAAAATACTCAATTACCCAGTGTGGATACGAAGGGCCCCATTTTGGAATGCATGAAATAAACACAGTGCTCCATAATCAACGTCTATTTTTTCTGGGTTTTGAGAATACTCAAAGCAAAAGAACATCTGTGTAGTGTCAGGGATATGCAAAGTGTAAAACAGATGTACACGCAAAGCTCAGGTCCAGGTAAAAGCCAAAAGTTCAAATACACGAACTATCGGGACCTTCTGTTTTGGAAATTTACAGCCTGAAAATGAAGGGAAGGGAAAAAATGGGATTAAAGGGGTCCTTTAAAATCACCCCAATCGGAAAAGGGCCGTTTTTTTGGTTTTTTTTGGGGAGACAGGGTTAAAATTTTCTGAGTTTTTTAATGCAAAACCCAAAAACCCTCAATTTTTTTTGGGTTTTTTTGACCTGAAAACAACAATTATGAATACAATTACTGATAGAAAATTGTAATGACATCGACATCAAAAAAAATCATGACACTCCCTAAGCATCTCCCCATCTTCAGCACAGCGAAGAGTCCCAAAAACCAAAGGTACCAAAATGTTTTTTACGTACATCCCCCCGTCTCCCCCCTTTCCCCTTCTTTTTCAGGCGTCAGGGCCCGATTCCCTGGGAAATCCTTTTCCCGCGGCTCCTCCCCCAGAAACCCTAATTATCCATTTGTCCTCAGCAAAAGGTGAACCCCCTTTCCCCAAAAGGGGCCCTTTACAAAAAATTTTGGGCCAAAAAAAAAATTTCATGATATCTTTTAATAAGTCCCTCTCCTAATGAAGGGTTGGGTTTTAAACGCACCATTTTTCTTTTGGGAATTAATGAAACTTATATAAAGGAACTTTTTTCCCAAAACCATGAAAAAAAAGGGGAAGGGAAA